CACCTTCTTGCATTCTTAAGAGGACTGAAAAACAATTTAGTGCCTTTTAAAAAACAAGAAAACAATTCAAACTTCTTTAAACGCACATTCAAAATGTCCTCGAGGTTTTTTAGGAATAGATTCTGCAAACAGTGTTTAGGAATAGATTCTGCAAACAGTATTACTCTTAACATTTCAAGAAGAAAGTCGGTCAAAATTGTGATGTTTATGTTAGTGATATTATACTAGTGGGGAGTGATGATAAGAGAAGAACGTTTTGGTCTTTAAGAAAAATCCTTAAATTACATCCACGAATCGATAGCACTATTGACGTGCAAAAATTAAAACTCAGAGTGAGGAATAAATAAGAGGGGTAATTCTAATGGGAGTTCCTACCCGTTAGAATTATCATACGTAAAGAGTCGTCATTTAAATTATTAGACATGGAAAGACTGTTAAGAAACCCAGAGATTAGACTTATGATTTCGAATGCCGCAATGTTCAGTTCCTTATTTCTCACTGCAAGGTGGGAGGATGAATGGAAAACTGTTACTAGAGCTATTACTAGCGTCAGGAAGTATGACGTCACTCTTGAATGGGAAGTAGTTTTAGAGGCCTTTTAATGATTTAGTTTTTTTCAAAGTTATCTGTGAAATGTACTTTGTTTTTCTGATTTGTAGTTTTGCCTTTGGTTTTAGATGTAAGGCTGGAATGTACGCAGAGTCGGATTTAGACTTAATAAGGCCCTAAGCTATTTGAGGGATATGAGGCCTTTATAAGTCTGTTATACTGTATTTTAATTTTTGGGGAGCCCCGAAGAAAGTGGGATCCCTAAACTATAGCTTATATGTAAATAACAATTAAATCGAGAAAACCGGCTGGGATTAAATACAGATGAACCGGCTGGAATTAAATCGAGAGGAACTGGAACCAGGCTCCGGTGAACGCCGTAATTTAAAATCTGATAATACTCGCATCAGTTTAAGTTAAATTCGTCAGTCCACATCATCCAAAGTAGCAAAAGTGCCTCCCTTTCTTTTTCTCCTTTTGTTCCCTCCTCACAAAGTGAAAGTCATCTTTCGAAATTTTCAGTAGTCAGATCTTTTATGGGATTCTCTGAAGAACTGGAAAAATACCGCAGTAAAAAGCTGACTCTCCTGAAACAATCCCATTCTTCTTGAAATCAGCATAAATAGTTACTTACCTTCACTGGGCAAAAGTATTGGCGTTACAGACTGGAAAAAATTCTCAAAAATCATTTCAGATACCATTCCTGGAAATCCCAAAATTACCAATGAAGACGATATTGAGTCTGAAATCAAGAAGTTTACCACCTTTATTCAACATGCTATTAATATTTCAACCAGTAAATTCATCAGTTCCCATTCTTTTCTTCCTCTTCCAGCCAGCATAAGACAAAAAATCAAATTCAAAAATCGTATTAGGAAAAACTGGCAAAATATAAGAGACCCAAGGCTAAAAACTCAACTGAACGCTGTTCAACGTGACATCGAAAAGAACATTAGTAACTTCAAGACGTAACGCTGGCGAAACTCCCTCAACTCTCTCGCAACAGAAGATAATTCTCTTTTTGATATTGCAAAGCAATTTAAGAAACTCTTCAAGCAAATTTCGCCACTTCATGGTACCAACGTAATGATTTATTCAGACGAAGATAAAGCTAACACCTTTGCAGATATACTAGAAGAAACGTTTACTCCCAATACCTACCCCTTAACGACAACAATCATATCTCCAAATTTAATAATACTGTTAATACTTCCTAAAAATCCCAGGATCCTATTGAACTTTACGTTCCTTGCCACGGCCTAAGCTGGTTGCCGATTATATTATCTCCTTAAAACCCAGAAAAGCTCCTGGTGTTGATAATATTTCTACCAAAGCGTTGAAACATCTTCCTATCAATGCCATCACTTGTCTTACTAAGATAATCAGCTCTATCATCAAATTCTCTTACTTTCTTAATATATGGAAACATGCCATCATCTTCGTCTTCCCAAAACCGCATCAAAATTCAACGTTTCCCCAGAACTACCGCCCAATCAACCTTCTCAGTCAACTTTCTAAAATAGCTGAAAAAGTTATCCTTTATCATCTTAATCAAATTATTCCACAGAGCTCCTACATTCCAGAAGAACAGTTTGGCTTCCGTTATCGTCACAGTACTAATCATCAGCTGCTTCGTGTCATCAACTATTACTGATGGTTTCAATTGTAAGTTCCCTACCGGAGCCATTTTCCTTGATAGTACGAAAGCTTTTGATATGATATGGCACCGTGGACTTATATACAAACTTATCAAGTTAAACTTCTCCGATCATTGTATTAGACTTATTACTTCCTATCTCCAAGACAGAATATTTGCAGTGAAAATTGGCAGTTCTGTTTCTTCCACGAGAAAATGTTCCGCTGGAGTGCCTCAAGGATCTGTACTTTCTTCATATTTATATAACATTTACATTTACGATATTCCTAAGGACTCACAAATTACCATTGCTCTTTTCACTGATGATACTGCAATTATGACCCAACCTTCTACTGTTACTGACGTCCAGCTCCTTCTTCAACATTACCTCAATCATCTAAAAAAATGGCTCACTCTTTGGAGGATTGCAGTTAATACCGAAAAATCAAAAGCAATAATTTTTCTCAAAGGCCAAATTTTACTCCACCTAGACCTCTTCTGTTTGATGAAGAAATTGACTGGATTGACGAAGTTAAATATCTAGGAGTCATTCTTGATAAAAAAATTGACTTTTCAGAAACATCTCAGGGAAACTGCTTGGCAGAAGTCATATGTCCGTTTCTAATAAACTTCTCTTATATAAATCTACTAGAAAGCACGGCGGTCATACGAAATGACTGCTGTTCTAGATATTACAAGTTGTAATTAAAATGATTTGTGCCAAGGTGTCTGCTAATTTAAAGTGAATTACCCAGGCCAGAAATTCGGCGAAGACGTCCCTTTGCTTACTGCCCCACGGGGCTTTTCCCCTTCTACTTGCTTAATTGCTTAAAGTAGAGTGCAATGAAGGAAACCACTGGCTTTCCCTATTAGAGGAATTTGGCTACGTGCCAAATTCTTTTTCTCGAATATCTACGGAACGGCTCCAAGTTGAAATTCGAGACGCGTATCCTCGGATTCCAAAACATTCTCCGAATCCATCGATACCATTCTCATCTTCGTACGACCTTAATCGGCCGAGATATTAATTAAAAACTGCGGAAACGTTAATTTGCGTGTTCATTTTTCCGAGTGGCAACAATAAACTATCGGCGACACACACTTTAGCCGCTTATATATATCAAGAAGATTCTTCGACCAGCATTACTCTATGCTTAGTCCTGTCTGGGGCCACGCTGCCAAAACTCACCTTCAACACATCGAAGTTCTTCAAAACAAAGCACTCAGATCATCAACGCGCCATGATTCATTCCAAATTCGTATATCCACCGTGATCTCAAAATAGATACAATTCAAGATTATATTCAAAAACTTGCCAGAAATATCTTCTATACAGTTATCACTCATCCTAACCAAAGATTGATCCTAACAACTCTCTTAGATGTTCTCCATTTCCCAGAGAAAAGCATAAATATCCATCTGACATTCTCCAGCCTTAACATTTTTTACTTATACTAGATTCTTCAGTTCACTGATTTGGACCTTCGACCAGACACTCACCTTTTTCGTCGACTGATGCCGGCCACCTGACTTTTACTTTCGTCTTTTTATTTTACTGATGTTCTCAAGGAGGTTAGAATAGAAGGAGGGAGGGTTCGCAGTTTCCTCCACTATCGGGGAATGAAACTCCGCCGAACAAGCGGCGTCCATGTTTGTGACTTCAAAACATTGCATTACGGCAGTGACATGTACGTGTTTCTAAGCTGTTCCGTGCATTTATTTTCCAGTAAAATTATGTTAAATTTATAATGAAATCCCCCGCTATTGTTGAATTTTTGTTTCAAAGTAATAAAGATGATATCCATAATTTACTATGTACAGCAAATTATTAAGAAATAGTTCGAAATCTAAATGCATTAAACATTAAAGCCTTTAAAATAACATTAAAGCCTTTAAAAATAAAGCCTTTCTGCATATTTCACGGATTCGTTTAGGTTAGAAAATAAATCTTAACAAAATAAAACAGAATTCATTCAGTTTATGCGCATTTCATATTTATTAATCTCAAAGAAACTGCCTTTAATTAAGTTGAATTACAGAAATACACCTATATAAGTTTTTGGATACATCTTTCCATATGTTCAATTGTGTAAATATTTTACTTTATTTTACTGCTCAGAAATTTGTAAGTTTATACAAAAAATTTTTAACAACAGAACAGTTTATCTTAACTTTAAAAAATGAATAATAATTAATATATAAAGAAAAGCATTGCTTTATTTAACACCTTTACAATTAATAAAAATAGTAACAATTGATTTCTTACTTTTCATGAAAGTTATAAAACGAATTAACTAAAACGTTCAAATTATACAATTTAAATCCTACCATATAGCATTGTATCTTAAGGAACGAAGATACCAGCTATAAACAGAAACATTAAAATGTATTTAACATATTTTGATTATAGTTATATTACATAACCTATTTTGATTATTTCAAGTCCCTTTTTTTTCACATCTGGAAAGAAAACCACATGACATTGTGATATTTTTTGACATAGTTGTCATATTACATAAAAAAAAAGAAAATTAATACTTACGTGTGAAAAATAATGCCCGGAATTTTTTTCGAGAATCTATTTATGCATCCATATGCAATACAAGCTGACATGCTTCAAAAAGGAAAGAAAAAAATGTTGCAATGACAGACTTCCTTGCACAAGTCACGGTGATAACAGAAAGATGGCCGCCAAGCTTCACCGTTTGAGTTGAACCTTCCCTCCTTCTATTCTAACCTCCTTGGATGTCATGTGATACAGAGGCGCTGCTTTCTGAAACTCAAATTCACTAGAACAGTATATCAACAAAGCATAAAAAAATCTGGCAACATCGCTCTCGTGTTCGTAATGTTTTGAACCGCTACTGTGGTGTGTATTGGCATTTGGTAGCTCTTGTTTTATTGTTATATCCTAAGTACTTGTCAGCACTGTAACTATGAGTCGAAGACGAAATTACGACGATGATGATGAAGGTATGTTTTGATTTTCATTGCTCTAGATTAATATTCTGTTTGGTAAATTGGAAGTTCAGACATTTAGTTAGGGATGATTCGGATAAACTTACGAATGGTTCTTCAAGGCTTGCTTAAAAATGGTTTAGAAATCATAAAATTAATAACGTTAAAAAATAAGAAATTAGTCCCTTCCCCAATTGTATAAGCAGGAACAAAATCTAAACAAATTCATTCCCAAGCAGTAGAATAAAATGTGGATTCTTCTGCACCATCTCTAACATTATCTTATGCTGTTAGTTTATCTTTTTATTTTAAAAATACCCCATTCCATAAGCTAACATCAGTGCAATATTAGATATATGTCAATGCTATATTAGTTATATATCAGTGCAATATTAGTTAATGCAGTATTTGTTAAATACATTTCTATAAGTGGTTGATCTTTAGATTATGGTAACTTGGCGATTTTTCGGCGAAAATTTGGCGACCAACACTCCTACAGCAACCCTCTATTTTTTTTTCCCGCCGCCATTTTGTCTTCACGAAGTAAAGACATGTTTCTTTTCTTTTTATCTACTGAACACTTCTTCCAACAATCTACTAGCCGAATTACACTTATGCTAAAAATTTTATCTAACAAAACTGCTTAATCATGACAAATATTCACTGCAAAATTGGGAAAAAGTGCACAATACCATACTCCTTATGCGTTTTTCAAAATAACACATACACATAAACCATGTACATGTCGACTTATTTTTACTTAAAAAAACATCCCAGAATTGCACAAAAATGGCATTGCGCACACTCTTCACCATATCCATGTACACTCCTTTTTTCTCATAAATTAGAAAAATTTCACGAAAATGCATGACAATTTTCTGAATCTTTAAACCCGTTAAAAAGAACATATATGAAATTACCTAATAACGAAAAAGTATATACCCTTTCCAAATATGAACATTTCCACGTATAAAATAAATAAAATATCCAAAAACTTTTACCTCTAAATCATCTATTATATTATAAACATCACCAACGAATTCATACCGCAAACATTACAAATACTTAGTGTCAAATATTTAAATTATTTCCATGCACGTTTACTTCAACTAAAATGTATACCAAATTCCTACAAACATAAAATTCACAAAATAACTATCATTTAATTAAAATATAATTAAATTCAAAAACACTACTTAAAATATAATAAGCACATACATTAAATTAATAAAAATTAGCTTACAATCCTAATTACTTTAAACTAAATCATTTCTAATAACAATTTTCCCAATAATACCAAATTACTTTACTTCCACCTTACATTTAGAACAATGTATAAAAATAATATCCTCAAATAATTAAAAATACTAACTTACCTAATCTTCTTCAGAATCTTGATTACGTGTCCGATAAACTTTTCTTATTTCTGTTTCAGGATCTTTAAAATCATACTTATAGTTCACAGCAAGGTACCAGGTAAAATAAATAACTTAATAAAACATCTTTACTTCTATCTCGCACAACCTTAAAGAAAAACTTATTACTACCCCTTTCAATCCCACTAAATACCCATTTCGAATTCACTTTAGTTAGGGCCATGGGGTCCAAAAATTAACGAACACTGTTTCACACAAAACGGAATAAAGCCAAATACAAAATTTCCAGATTTTTTCCCGATTTCCCCCCTTTTTCGATTAAAGAACCATAATTCGTCCATTAATATCAATGATCTCTCATTTCCCTCACACAAAATAATGCGTAATCGGAACTGAGTACTGCTCACATTATTACCAAAGTCCCAGGTAGTAACCTTTGTCGCCTCCAAAATGTCGCCAAACTACCAGTTACCATATTTTAAAGATCAGCCCTATAAGTTTTTATTTGAAAGTATTTGATTTGATTTTAAAGTTATATAATTTTAATTTGAGTTGATCTTTACATTATGGTAACTTGGCGATTTTTTGGCGAAACTTTGGCAACCAACTCTCCTACAGCAACCCTCTATTTTTTCCCCGCCGCCATTTTGTCTTCACGAAGTAAAGACATGTTTCTTTTCTTTTTATCTCCTGAACACTTCTTCCAACAATCTACTAGCCAAATTACACTTATTTTAGAAATTTTATTAAACAAAATTGCTTAATCATGACAAATATTGACTGCAAAATTAAGAAAAACTGCACAATACCATTCTCCTTACACATTTTTCAAAATAACACATACACATAAACCATATACACGCCGACTTATTTTTACTTAAAAAAAACATCCCAGAATTGCACAAAAATGGCATTGCGCACACTCTTCACTATATCCATGTACACTGCTTTTTTCTCATAAATTACAAAAATTTCACGAAAATACATGACAATTTTCTCATTCTTTAAACCTGGTAAAAAGAACATATATGAAATTACCTGATCGCGAAAAAGTATTTACCCTTTACAAATATGAACATTTCCACATATAAAATAAATAAAATATCCAAAAACTTTTACCTCTAAATCATCTATTACATTATACACGTCACCAACGAATTCGTACCGCAAGCATTACAAATACTTAGTATCAAATATTTAAATTATTTCCATGCACATTTATTTCAACTTAAACATATACCAAATTCCTACAAACATAAAATTCACAAAATAACTATCATTTCATTAAAATATCACTAAACCATGTACACGTCGACTTATTTTTACTTAAAAAAACATCCCAGAATTGCCAAAAATGGCATTGCGCACACTCTTCACTATATCCATGTACACTGCTTTTTTTCTCATAAATTTAAAAATTTCACGAAATACATGACAATTTTCTCAATCTTTAAACCCGGTAAAAAAGAACATATATGAAATTACATGATCGCGAAAAAGTATTTACCCTTTACAAATATCAACATTTCCACATATAAAATAAGTAGAATATCCAAAAACTTTTACCTCTAAATCATCTATTACATTATACACGTCACCAACGAATTCATACCTCAAGCATTACAAATACTTAATATCAATATTTTAATTTATTTCCATGCACGTTTATTTCAACTTAAACTTATACCAAATTCCTACAAACATAAATTCACAAAATAACTATCATTTCATTAAATATAATTAAATTCAAAAACACTACTTAAAATATAAATGAGCACATACATTAAATTAATAAAAATTACCTTACAATCCTAATTACTTTAAACTAAATCATTGCTAATAACAATTTTCCCAATAATACCAAATTCCTTTCCACCTTACATTTACAACAATGCATAAAAATAATATCCTCAAATAATTAAAAATACTAACTTACCTAATCTTCTTCAGAATCTTGATTACGTGGCGGATACACTTTTCTTACTTCTGTTTCAGAATCTTTAAAATCATACTTATCTTTCAAAGGAAGATACCAGGTAAAATAAATAACATAATAAAACGTGTTTATTTCTCTCTCGCACAACCTTAAAAAACATTTATTACTATCCTTTTCAATACCACTAAATACCCATTTCGAATTCACTTTTGTTAAGGCCATGGGATCCAAAAATTCACAAACACTATTTCACACAACACAGAATAAAGCCAAATACAAAATTGCCAGATTTTTTCCCGATTAAAGAACAGTAATTCGTCCATTAATATCACATAACATATCCCATGATCTCTCATTTCCCTCGCACAAAATAATGCGTAATCAGAACTAAATACTACTCACATTCTTAACAAAGGCTAACTAACCTAATCTTCTTCCGAATCTTCCTTACATGGTGGATACACTTTTATTATGGATTCAATAAAATTACTGAATGATTTTTTTCCCGAATTTGATAGAATTTGATAAAAAAAAAAATTCTCTTTATCACATCTACAATTCACTTTAGACAGCGCCATACAATCCCAAAATTATTCAACCCTACTTCACACAACACGCAATGAAGCTTAATACAAAATAATATACATCCACAGATACTTGTCCAAATTCCCCCCTTTTTCCGATTAAGGAACCGTAATTCGTCCATTAATATCACGACATATCCCATGATCTCTCATTTCCCCCACACAAAATAATGCGTAATCGGAACTGAGTACTGCTCACATTATTACCAAAGTCCCAGGTAGTAACCTTTATCGCCTCCAAAATGTCGCCAAACTACCAGTTACCATATTGTAAAGATCAACCTTAATTTGTAATAGCTTCTGAAAGCTGCATGTTAATTTGGTTTTCGCTTCTATTTTAAAAATTATAATGGGCTTACTGTATAATTTGTAATGGGCATCCTTCCTTGGATTATAGTAGATGGTTACACCTACATACAGACAATAAAAATAAACATTTGAATTACAGTTTATAGATTCTGGAATATTGAAAATTAAACTATTGCTTTTTTCTTTCATGACTGTAATGCGAAAATTTTCGTAATTTGACTAGGATGAAATATTATCAGCTAATCATATTTTTCTATTAAAGGTTTTTTATTTAGTTTGCTTGAATAGTACCTTGCAATTTCTAAATTCTTTTTCATATACAGTATAATGTCGGAAATCTGGAATGATCAAGGTTTTGGTGATTTTGGGCTTTTATATATAAAAAGTATGCATTGATTGTTAGTGAAATATTGTAGCATTTTCATGACTTAAAAGAAATTACAGACAAAAAGCACTCATTGTAAATGTTTGTTTTATAAATAATTTTTATTAATATTTTTGTATTTTATAGTAATGGATAAACATTCTGGCTAAAAATTTACAACAGGGTACCTCTTGGTGTGTTTGGTGGTTTTATGATACCAAGAAAGGCACCAAAAAAGCAATGTTTTGAAGATAGCTGTCATCCAAAACAGCGCGAAAAGCTTATGTTATGAAAATGACAAAAATACTCATTTCATGTATTTGTGGCTACGTCTCATCATCACCATTGGATGACTGATGCACATACATAATGCAAATATCACGGAATTGATCCCCTCCTCCTGATCCTGCTATTGGCGATGCCACATAAATTCCTTAACCCATTAACCGCCAAAACTACAAGGAATGTTTCTTTTCTCGTGAAAATAATAACAACAGATATTAAATTAAGCATTTATAACATAAATTTACATTGAAAATAAAAAAAAAATGCTTTTACCTGTGGAAAACGTGAGTGTTGCATTCGCGCAACGCCAGCAGAATAAGACTACGGATGTTTAGTGAGTAGGATTGTACTCGTGTGATGTTTCTTTTGAGTGGAGGGTAGGATTACTTTTTAGCTGTATAACGCTTTATAAATCTACAAATCACTTTACTTGTAATTAATTTAATATTAAAATATACATTGTATTTCTTTTACAAATACAGGTTATTTCAATTGAAAGATTCAAGCATGAAAAGCTTGATTACAATGATGATGTAAAGCTACATTACATACTTTGCATCTATAAACAGTCTGGCTATGGTACTCTTTACAACAATGTCTTTTGTTATCAACGGACTTTATGATAAAATGTCTACAACCTCCATGCAATGGTTTTTGAATGCTGAATTTACTAGGTCTTCCTGTTGCTGATCTATTTGTGGCTCATTCTACACTCTCAATAGGAGTTTGTAAAAGGAATAATGCATTCTCGCGTCTGAAATCTAAAAGAGACTTTATATTTCCAGTAGTAAAAAGTGGTGATATTTAGTAAGTTTAGATACGGTCTCGCCTCATATAATTTATCAGTATTGTCAATTTGACTATTGTCAAATGCAAATTCTGCTTCATATTCCTGTACTGCAAACGTGATATCGATTCTCGTACAACAGGAACAGAAATGTCCTTATCAAAAGACCAATACATTTTTTCTTGAGGTAAAGAATAATATCCTGTAAGCAATAATATTCCAATAAATCTTCTCATATAGGCTTCAGATGCAATAAATTCTGGGCTTTTTTTTTTTTTCTGAGCGTATATATTTGTCTGTTCAACAAGAAGAGAGTAAATGTCTAAACAAAATCGAAAATCTGTGCACTAGTTTTACCTTGTATTTTGCCTTTTATAATTTCTCTTTTATCTCTTTTTTCGTGTTCTTCCTGAGACATAACTAACAGTTCCTTTTTTTATCCACTTCAAGATTTCAATCTTCTGCTTTTTAAACTTTTTAGTATGACTATAACTGCTTTTAGAAGGCTGAAACTTACTTCTTACATGAATTTCAACTTCCCCAGCAGTATCATTTGGTAAAATATCATTATCATTATTTAAAACATTGCCATTCTTTTCTTCTTCGTCACTAGCTTTTGCAATTTCTGGGGGAACAACAACAATATCAGTTTCATCCTGGTCATTTTTAACATTTTCATCATCTGTTTCTTCATCAAAAAATCTTTGAAGGGCTTCTTCTAATGTAAGATACCGCTTTCTAGGCATTTTTAAACAACCAGAACATGAACCAGAACATCGAAAGGAATGAGTGAAAAAGGAGATTGACTACCCGTTTCCTGCTGACGCTGCGTCAGCTCAACACCTGTTTTCCCTTGCTTCCCAACACAAATATAAACATTTGACTGATGTAATATTCTGATAAACAGTGACCTTGACTAAAAATAGATCACTCATAAAGACGGCAATTCTTTTATTAAATATTTTCATCAAAAATACCCGGTCGAAAATTTTGCTTAAAGTATGAGATTAATTGTTATAAACAAAAGGATTGTTGAAGGCAAATATTTTTTTACATAAATAATCTTCATGATATTCCCTACACAAAATCATCTGCTGCTATAAAATATCTTAGGTAGTTATATTTATATATGCATTTATTTTGACCGTTGTGTCAACGCAACACCAGCGGCTAATGGTTTAAAGTAGAATACGAAATGTCATCCATTGACTGCTAAAGACTTCACTTGTGAAAATTCGCACTTAATGTGGTTCCACATGCCCTCAGTGGTGTTGGTATGAGTGCCAGTATTGAGCACCTTTCTCATGACAAACCTACTCATTGCCATTGAATTGATCCTTAAGCTTGACCAGATGCATGTTTTTCATACAAACATGTCACTCTTGGCATAAACTAATTAAATCTTATTTGTGCACCAATCTGTTATAGCTTTCTTGCCATTTTGCTCTAAATCACGAAAAAAACAAATACAGTCAAAAGTCGTTAATCCGGACTCGTCGGGACTTCGGCGATTCCTGATTATCGATTTTTCCGGATTATAGATCATAAGTTTAAATCTCGTAAGATGGCATGCAGAAATTATAAAATTAAAAATATGAAACCGTAATTTATGAAATAAAGAACAATTATGATCTAAAGGGTATCAAAATTTACAAAAAAAAAAGCTTAATATTTATTTGTTTACTTTATTAAACATTTCTTTCAATGTAAGTTGTTTAAGTTTTGCTTCGTTTTTCATGTGATAATACTTTCTCTTTAATTCTATTAAACAGACATAATTTCTTGTTCAGTTACAAAGTTCCGTGTTCAAGTCCTATAATTGCTGTGTCGAGAATACCGACTAATTTGTCAATCGAAAATTTTTTGTTTTCAATAACCTCTGTCACTTTTTCTTTGCTATCGGAAGCGAATTATAATGACGAGGAACTTGATTTAAATCATATCAAAGACGGAGCATATCGAGATGAAATACTACATTTGGTAAGGAATTATAAGCCAAATAAAATAAAAACATCTGCCGCTGAAGATAAGGATAGTGCTGACAAATCAACTTCCAATTCATTACGCGCCCCGCCGCCGAAGAGCAGCGTGAAAATTGCCTTTATCCATTTTTGAACAGATTTCGGATTTCAAAACATACTTTCGCTTTAGATCCTTTACATATTAATAAATATATATCGGAAATTCTATTTGACATAATCGAAAGTTCAAGCTTACTTTTATAAAATTGCTCTAACAGTCTGCAAAAAATAATAAGCCGGATGCAATTCGAAAATTAAGGAACAACGCAATCATCAACATTAACTGAAATAGATAATTATTTAGCTTATACGTCCATTATACATAAAATGTGCGTGCGAAAACATATTCTGCACTTGCGCACACGCATATGCGCAGTCGTAAAAGGTCTTACGCGCACGCGTGAACGCCTCTGCGCATGTGTCAACGCGGCGCATGCGCAGAAAGTTTTTAGTTTTGATGTCCGGATTATAGATCATTCCGAATTATGGGTGTCCGAATTAACGACTTTTGACTGTACTTATCTTACCAAATGCACTTCTTTGTGAAAATAACGGAACAGTGATTCAATAGTACCAGCCAGCTAATGAAAGCCAGAGGCCAGTTAACAGCAATTAACATTCTAATTATTCAAAATACTTGATTTGTAGTACATAAATATATTGGAAAGTAAAAACCATGTAGTCTTAGTCACTAAGAAGTTCTAGTCAGATTAAACTTCAGAAAAATATTGGCACATAACAAAAAAACAACAACAACAACAAAAGGCTGCCATAACATTGGGAAAACAGTTCTGGATTATCAGAAAACTGCTAACAGCATCGGTATTTCCCACCAAATCAAAGGGCACAATTTTCTACTCTAAAATCAAATTTTCAAATTTATAATTTCATGGTTTTGAAGAAATGCAATTTTGGAACAATGCTGATGTTATTCTGTCAAAGAGCATCCCAGGGTCAACTAAATTCTGAATAGCTTTATGCTTTTATTATCATTATACAAATATCTCATAATTGATTTTTTAAATATGAAATGGTAAATTATTTCTGGGACTACGGGCAATAAATTTTTTGTCTAATTATATAATTAAAAAACCATTTTTTTAAAAGTTCTGTTTGTGTTACATTTTAAACAAGTCATTTTGATAAGCTTATTAAATTTTATTAACTCTGTTAGTTTATTTAATTTGGTAAAGTAATTTGTTTTTAATTAATTTAAATGGAGCATTATGTAAATTAATTTTCTTAAAAAGTTTATTAAAATATTATGCTTGAATATTTTAAAATTTATGGTATAAATTTTTAATAAATAATTAAGACTAACAAAAGATAAATGTTACTTCTTTCTTGTTCTACATTTCAACTGTTACAACAACATGCTCATTTATTTTATAAGTTTATTTAGTGTTTGTTTCAGAAATGCATACATTTTCAACATTTTGAAAACGTATAAAAAATTAAAAGCATATTGTTAAATAATTGTTTGTTTATTGCTAGATGGTCATGCACGAAAACGAAGGCGCCTGAGTGCTGAACCAAAAGAAATTGAAGATAGACTTGAGTCTCTGATTATGCGTGTAGGAGATAAGGTATTATTTTGGAATATTGTGAATTTAATATTATCTTATACTTAAAGTGAAAACAAATGTTTGAGATCATTATAGGTTAAAAAATATTATATTCACTGCTTTCCGAAAACTAAGAGAAAACATCAGCCATACATAGAAGACTTCATGAAGGTATGTATGGGAGGTGACCAGTCATTTGCATGCTGCTGACGTCACGACATAGAAGGGAACATTTGAGGTAGACATACCAACAAATCCATTGCACGACTATTCTCTTTATGGATGAGTTCAGGTTTAGCCTCTGAAGCGATAGTAGGCATTATTTGATTTGGAGAGAAACTGGAACCCGTTATCATGCATCAAACATCCACAAAAGAGATTCATATAGAGGAGGCAGTGTCTGTGTTCGGAGTGATAACTCTTTGGGTGGACGCTCAGACTTCTTTATCTTTCCACATGGAACCATGAATGCTCAGGCCTATAGAGATGACATCCTTGATGCTTATGTGCACCCTTATGCTGGAGCAGTAAGTGATAATTTCCTGCCACAGGATGACAACGTTAGACCACATAGGGCTCCAATCATGGATGATTATCTTCAGTAGCAAACAAATCAGCACATGGAATGGCCAGCTCAATTACCAAACCTGAATCTTATCGAGCATGTTTGATTTGCTTTAGGAAAATTTACAGCTGCTCTCATTTCTCCTCTGCAGACCCTTGTCATGCTCTCAACTGCTTTGCGAGAGCAATGGCTCTCACTTCCTACAAAATTGATAGACTGCATAATAGACAGCATCGCACATTACCGTGTTGTATTGCTTTTAGGGAAGATCGTACTTCGTATTGAAGGTAGTTTTCCTGTACCCAACTGATACATCTGACTTGTTCATTTTATACATATGCTAATTTCTATAACATAATTCTCTGGTAATTTCTGTTCATGTTATTTTATACCTTACTATGTGTTATGTATTGTGTGTCTGTTTCATTAAATTCTACGTGTAACTGTTTGAGCAGTAGTCATTTTTGTAGTTTTTCTTTAATTAAAATTAATGATAATGAATTATTCCAGGTTAAAGAATTTGTGCTTCCTTTATCTTAGGAAGTACATGTATATGTCGTTTAATATTGAATTTTTCTAATTATTAAATGTATTGAATAATTATTAAATATGTTGAAAAAGCCAAAGTTATGGTAAAAGCATCAAAGAAAATAAGGTAAAAATATCTTTCAAGGTGTTGCTTGGCGATTTTTTGGCGCCATTCCTTTTTACATCCAACACCCTCCCCAGTAAAATGGCATCCAAAACATAGTGCAATAAAACATAATTAAAATAAAAAAATGGAAAAATATATTTACGGGTGCTTCCTTCGCGAAAATTGGTCGCCGCTACCTAAAGCCAAAATGTGTCTGTGTACACATTGACTTATTTTAACTTAAAAAAATCATCAGAGAATTGCACAAACTTGGGATTGCACACTCCCTTTGTCCATGTACACTTTAATCTATTTTAACTTAAAAAGTCAAAGGAACAGCCAACAAAAAATATATAACCTCAATAAATTACATTTAAAATCAAATAACATAAAAAAGGAAATTCATCTTAGCACTACACAAAGCAAGTATCCATTTACCTTATTTAGAAATTTGCCTGTCTTCAGTCAAACAAAATTCCTTAACAGCATCCAAAAACTTCCTAAAATTATCTGAGCTATAATCTGTACACTGGCATCACCTCATAAATTCACAAAGAGTCAAAAATATCCTCCATAGTGCCAGTATTGTCCGACATCTGACCATACGCATTTCCTTCCTACAAACAGGACACTTATAATGGCGACTAAGGAAACCTTCATTTACACACTAGTTAATTAATGTTCTTTTCCACTTACATTCCAAATCATACAGAAACTTCAAATTAATCTTACCACATTCAGCCATTTTACTGTCTAAACCACAAAACAAGCAACAAACTTCCTGAACAACATACCCTTACAAATTTTTTCCCATCATTCAAAATTCACAGCAATCATGCAAGCAATTATGTCATAATAGGGTTTCCACAACATTCAGCTACTCATGTTACCATAAATGAAACAACTTTGCAATAATACAAGGGGCACCCTTAAATCTACTCTCTAACCCCTAAAAAATATAATCTCAGTAAACTGCATTTTAAATCAAACAATGAAAGAAAAATACATGTTATCTTATATACACACTACAAAAAGAAGTATCGCCTTATCATATTCTGAACTTTCTGTGTGGTACACTGCGCAAAAAAAGGACATTTCTATGTCTCTTGTTCCACTAAGCCGATTGGCGAAATTCAAATTTTGTTTTTCATGTCTCGAAAGCATGATTTAGGGTATGTATTAGATTTATATATAGCATTGTTCTAATATAGGTATTTTGACACAAAATATGGCTTTGGTTAAAGTACATTTATGGGTACCCCTTGGCGAAATTTTGCGGTAAATGGATATTGAATTTGTGCAATTCTTTGACTTGTTATTTTGGCTTTGTGTAGCGGCAATTTTATCATAAAAAATCTCTATAACAGGGTTTCTATATCATTCAACTACTCAGGTTATCATAAATAAAACGACTTGTTGATAAACTAAACAACACTTGGCGATAAATGAAACAACAACCTCGTGATAATACAAGAGGTACCCTTCATTCTACTCTAACCTCGATTTTTTCTGAAATGACATGCCATTTTTTTTCCATATTTTGATTCTACGACTCAAATTATGCCAATGCACTAAATAAAATGCCTCGTTATGGAAAAACAATCATGTAAGCATAAATTTGTGAGATTAATAATTTGGCACCATAGGCAAGTGTCTGCCTGGCATACATCTCAAACCGAAACATTCACCTATTTTTTTATCCATAATGCTGACCTAGCGAGTCACTATTTATTATATTTTGCTTTCATCACCGCATGTTTATTAATACGTGACAGCTTCAGTTCATCTTTACTCTCTTGAACTTTTTAGGACTCACTCATGCTCAGTTACATTCCAGATAGAAAATACATAGTATGGGATTGTGCTCCTTCGGAACTCAGCTCTTTCTTCGAACTCGTTTACCTGACCCTTTTTTTTGTTGACAGCTTCAAATAACACTCTTCAGTGTGATGCCTAAACTTTTTTTTTTTATATTAGGATTGAATAACAGAGTATGGCGCCCTTTTTAGCTAACATTATGCTTGGTGATGATTTAGATTTTTTTAATGCTCTCTAAGAAAAAAAAAATTACCCAACAAAATTTCTATTTCATCATATGCTAAAAGTAGATTTTGTAACCAGAAACTCATAGGCCAAATATTAATTTTTGTGCTATTTTAATAAGAATAAACTGATTTGTTATTCTACATAAACCCAGAAGCCGCGGCAAGCATATGTACTGCTGAGCGCTGAGCGGTAACAATTTTAAGAGATGAGAAGTTTTTTATGATTTAGGAAAGTGACTGGGATCCAAAGTTAGGTGCGGAAAATTTTCTGAAAGTAAGGCGTCTTTGTTAGAATTTAGGTGCCATGTGCACATCGGTATTTAGCGCCGGCCCTAGCAAAGTCGTTAAGTTTGTGGTATTTTACTCAGAACTCAATTTCTTTAGCATGTGCAAAATAAATAATTACTAGGCAATTCAGGCTTAATTCATAATAAGTAAGACAAATTTCGAACACTTGGTTTTTTTGCGGAATTTAGTCTAACCAGATGCTGTAGAATTATCACGCCAAGATACTACTATCAGGAAAATATTTAAATTTTCCGTTGTTCCGTTTTCGATTTTCCGACCATTCTTCAGTGCAAAACGCAAATGAACGATGAGGAATTGTTTTAAGATAAGAGTGGCGCCATTGTTGGCGACCAGCCAACTAAACACTTTTTCTTCTTTTGTTTGGCATTGGTGTTGAAAGATTTTATGAATGAAATGCCTTAGAAATCCATTCCAAGAGATTTTTTTATTTTTTTCAAAGAAACTTTCTTCTTTATGGGCCCTTTCACTGTTTCAAAACCCTCCCTTTAGATTTTTTTCCTTAGTTGGCCATATAATAAACCCCAGGAATTCATAATGGATGGGTCCTTGAGTATATAAGTTGGATTTTATTGATGGGGAGTACACAACCGAACGTTAAATTCTTTCTTATGTGCAACTTTATGAGATGGACAGAAGGGAATGACCACAAATTTTTATAATTCTCCTAAAATAAGAGTGTGGCCTTTAGTGTTTGAGATGAATTTTTTAAACTGCTTTTATTAAGTGTTGGGTGAAAAGCCCCTGTCAATAGCTATTGCTTTTAAATAATTTAGTTCTTCATCAAGGGCTAGTTTGGAGGAGCAAACTTGAAGAGCACGGAAAACATAGGAATAAATGAAGCTAACTTTTGTTTAGTCGGATGACATGATTTAAAGTGTGGTGGAAGGCAAACCGATGAAGGTTTACGGTAAACTGTACTACTGAAGTTGGATGTGTTACGTGTGACCCAATCGAGAAACGGAAGAGAATTGCAAGTCTCAAGTTCAAAAGTGAACTGAATAGCAGGATCAATAGAATTCATTGTTGAAAGAACTCTATTTAAATCATCTTATTACCTTCAAACAGGGTAAAAAGTATCGTCTACGTAGCGGAAAACCATGCCGGGAAGTTTAAAGTTTCAAACAATTTTGATTCATAATAATGCATGTAGATATCAGCCAGGATGGGACTGAGGGGGCTTCCCATGGCTAATCCCTCAGTTTGCTTGTAATATTTATTTTGGGAAAACAAAATGTGTTTGTTTCAAACAGAGTTGAGTGAGAGAAATTAGCTCATCAATTTCGATGCAGAGAAATGAATTCGCGAAGTCTGGTTTCTAGACATCTTAATGCACCTTCCTTCCACTGAGACATTGGTGAATAATGATTTTACATCAAAAGAAACCATGAGTAAATTACGAGGAGAAATGTTTTTAAAACCTTTTTTACAAACTCTATTGAATTTTTATGGTGTAAATGTTATTGTCTAA